TTCATGAAATAGTAGTTCAATAAAATTTTGAACGTGAGTCAACAAACGAGATGACATGGCCTTTTACCTTTGACACTTCTCAAAAGGGTTAAGAAGCTTATGTTCTAGTTATGAAAATGTGATTACCTGCATTTGTAAATTTTAAATAACATTCTCATTTTTAATCTGAGGATAACACTATATAAAGCATGCCCTTGAGAAATATTTTTATATAGATGCATTCTTAAATTTGGAGTTGACATATGTCAATTTATGATTACTTTGCTCTAAAAATAAGCTCAATAAAAAAATTATGCAGACGAAGTGGCAAGTTCAGGCCTTAAAAAAATCATGTTTACTTGTTTATGGTTTCTATCACATTTCTTTGTAATCATTCCATTACACATTTCAGGTGTGTGTTAAAACAATATTTAAGATCTTTTGTCTATTACAAATCAAGAGGCAGAATAACTTCTTAATGTGGTATGCAAATTTTTTCTCAGTATATGAGATATCTTGTTACACAAGTTTCAGCAGATGCTATTTTAGATCTTGTTCCTAGAACAGCAAAGGATATGGTTGGAAATGTGAATAATCAAGAGCACTTGAGTATCAGCATTGGTTTCAAAACCTGGTGTGAATTGAGGTTCCCAATTTCAAGCCTTAGCAAGGGCACATTTAACATTTTGATAAGTTATAGATTTAGTAAAAGTGGGAAGTCTTCAGTTGCATATTTACTTTTGGTGAAAAGAGCAGAATTCTGAGATTTATTCATAAAAAGTTTGAATATAAGAATAAGAATATTACTATGATCCTGTTATTCCTGTATGAGGCTGATAAAGTTTCATTTAAAACACTACATGTATGTGCAACATTTGTTCTCTTTCAACAATATAAATTATAGACAACAAGCAACCATTTGTAAAGACAGCCATGTAAAGATTTCACCTGCCCTAGCAGCTTCAGTTGTCTGGCTTATAGGTTTACCCATTAGAGCAATCCATTAAGTTCAGTTGTAAATGACATCATAAATAAGGCAAGATGAGATGTTTGTGTCATTAAATATTCTAATAATTAATAAGTAGTTTTGTTTTTATATCAAATCTTTATCTTTGAAGTTATTTCCAGAAAAAATTTTGAAACTAGAAGGGAAAGAAGTTTGAGTTTTTTTCTTATAATGGAATTTTTTTTTTTTTGCTGTTGTATTTGACATGTGCCATTGCTAATTTCTAAGACTGTTATACTGATGTTCAACATTAAAGGGTGCACCAGCAAGAAATCCTTTGTTCATAAAGGTAACAAACAGAAGAGACTTATGTTTTCCAAAACCAAAAATATTATGCAACAGGTATGTGTAAAACGAATACTTTGGTCTGATGAGTCAAAGCTTGAGAATTTTGAAACTCTTAGATGACAGTTCATTTGTTGCAGGATTGGAAAGAAATGAAAGGAAATTGTCTGCATCCTTCAGTTAAGGATGGTGGAGGTAGCATCCAAGAATGGGGCTTTTTAAATATAATTCAACTTGGTGAACATAACACTATCGATGGAGTCCTGGATTTTGCTCAATATAGACAAATACTTATTAACCATGCTGTTCCTTTTAGACACCATTTAGCAGGAAATTGTTTTTTTTCAGTATGTTAATAATCCTTAACATCACTGAATGAGATAAAGAAGTGTCTCTATAGAAAGGAAACATAAAACCTTTGCATGCTTGGTGTGGCCATCTCAGAACTCTCCATTGTTGAATGTATTTGGGAATATCTTGATTGAGAAAAGTAGCAAAAGCATCCAATCAAAGGAGGAACTCAGGGTGGTACTTCAATATGCCTGAAATTTCTTTTTTTTTTTTTTTATTGAGTATCTCCAAAAGCTTGAAGAAAGCATTCCTCAATGTTTCAGGGAAGGATTTCAGCTAAAAGTGGTCACACATAGTATTAAAGAAATAAATTTTAATTTGCTTTCCATTCATTTGTTTTGCCTTCAGACATTATGAAATTCTGAAATATCTGCACTAAAAGGTACTTGGTATGTTTGAATTTAAAATACATTGTACTTAGAGGCCTCTAATTTATGCCTTGTACTGTATATACCCACACAAATGTGTGTGTGCGGGTCTAGGCGAACTACTTGTAACTGATTGTGACAAAATATTCTACAAACATTGTACATTGTTAATGTGTTAAACTTCAAATTAAGTTTTCTTTGTTCCCATTAAATCCATCTCTAAACTGTATAAACTTATCTCAAGTTGTTTGTCTTTTAATTGAATAAAATTTCTTTAGCTTTTCAACAGATATAATTTAAAACATAAGTCGTTTCTTAATTCACAAACAAATGGAATGATTTTTTTAATGTTTACAGAAACTATAAAAAAACTCTTAAGCCTATATATTTGTTCTACTATTATATGATAGTCTAACTAATGCTCTATCCAATCATAATTAAACTTTCCTTATAGCTGCTTTCAAAGCTTTTTTTTTTTATTATTGAATGACCAAACCACTTGATGTAGCACTGTCACAAAGTTTCAGCCAAGGCCTGTACAAAAAATCACAGAAACATTTCAAAATCAAGAAATTATAATATGTTCTCAAGGGTTGATAGGTTCTGAGTAAAAATAATTATTGTTTGAGATGACCAGAATAATTACACAAAAAAATGATGTGTTGCAGAAATGAAAATATGAAACCCTATTTTTTATCTTTGTGAATTACCCTAACTAAATGTCAAGAAGTGACAGAATATTGATTCTAAAATATTTTGAGTTAAAATTGTTGAAATATAATTAGAATTAACATATAAAATTTACTTTTAAAATTTGTCAAGTGACAAAAAATATAAAATGCTGGAGGAAACTGTCTTTGGACTTCAGACACAATAAGTTGGAATTAAGCTACTTTTTTAATCTAAAACTTTGTACTTTAAAATGTATTATACAGGTAATGCAACTGTATTGTTTACATTTAAAAACAATAAAAGACTTATTTATTTATCAGTCACCTTTTATTTTGTTTTTAAGTTAAATAATGCAGTGTACATATTTCCATATTTGTTATTCCAGATAATTCATATTGTTTTACATTTTATAAGCAAGTTTATGACAGTTTTAGACTCTTAAGTGTATTATCTGTAACTACACAGTTATTTAAATGCTTTGTAACCAACTAAAGGATATGAATTATCATAAGTGATTTTATTTATTAGGCAAACAAGCATGTAGCCTAAGTAAAACAAATTTTTTTTGACATTTTTCAAGTAGCCTAGATGTAAAGTTGAATGACAATTAGAAAAATGTCAATGTATTTTGTAAGATAAAACTTTCAATAGTTATAACATTATCTTACAAAGTTTGAAAATCATTAGGGGATGAATTAGAATAAAACAAGGAAGTCTATTCAGAGATATTGTATTATTATGTTAACAAGTAACAACATGTTTAACTTCTCCATTCTAGCTGTAGTAGTGTTTCATTTTTACAATGATGGTATGAAAGCTAGCTGTGTAATACTATAACCAAACAATATAAAGTCTTGACTTGTATAATTATACCACTTGCATTTTTACTTAATTTAAACATCAACAATACAAAAAACATCTAACTTTTAAACAATTAAAAATCATTTCAGAAACAAGTCTGCATTATAACTTAAGACTTGAAGATGTCCTAAACAATACTTTGATGAAAACAAATCCCTAATTCTAGATACATTGTTAGTATATTTGGGAAAAGCCAAGGCATGGAAACTTACCTTGGCAACAATTAATTGATGATCATGTTGTATGGGCTCAGAACTAATCAGTTATTGGCTAAGGCCTTTACAAGACTCTGTGTTGATTTCAGAAAACCTCTATCTTTTATAATAATTAATAACACAATGTAATAACAAAATTGACATGTAATGTTTCTTTTTGGTACTTTATGGTAGTGTAAAGACATCTGGCTGTTTTTTATTAATTTCTAAAAAAAATTGAAGAGGAGGGGAGTTGGGCACAACCTATATGTGCATTTATTTATATAACATTAAATAATAATGTTATAAGCTTCTGAAAAATGAGTAGAGGGGTTTAACCCTCCTGTACCTCTCCCCTAGATTCATGCCAGGTTATACAGCATTAAATGACACCGTTATTAATTTATTTAAAAAAATGGGTGGAAGAGATTTGGCTTTCCTGGATTTCCTTAGATGTGCACTTGTACAACATGAAAAAAAATACAATTAATTTCTGGAAACAAATGGAAAGGGGTCCATTCTCCCTGGATCCATCTCCTGTATCTGCACCTTATTATACAGTTGCCTAATTTTAAATTAGAAACTTATGACAGTATAAAAATTAGTAAATTTAACTTTGTGCTTAACAAAAAACAAATATAATGGATATATATTGATTACTTGGGTAGTTGGAATAACTGGAAACCCTAATTAGTTGATTATTTTCATGACAGTTGATTTACTCTTGATTTTAGTTGAAATAATTGTAAATGGTAATGATCAGAAACACTAATTTCAATTAGTTGATTATTTTCATGAAATTAATCAGTTAGTTTACAATACATTAATCAATATTATTATTATTAGTCACAGGTAATTGGTTATATTGAATAATTTGCCCAGCTTTAAATACAGGTGTACAGGATTCTGTATTTTTAACTATCCATATGATATTGTTTCTTTATGAAATATAATTTTTTACTTTTTTATCCTGCAGAAACCGCACAAACAGAGTTCAAGTTAGTAATGTGCCCAATCATGTACAGTTAGAGGAGATTAAAAGACTATTGTCAACATTTGGCAATGTTCATCAGTGTGACCAAGGTTTGTAAACTTTGTATAGAGTGTAAAAGAATAGTGGTCTGTGGCTTAAATGTATTTCTATAGTTATAATAAGTTATTTTTTGTCATAATTGAAAAATGCTTGCTAATTGCAGTGTAATGATATTATGTAAAATAAAGAAGTGCAGTAAATTAACCAAAACATTCAAGAATAGATATACTGAACATTCGTTTAAATCCTCTTCAAACTATAACTGGGCAGTTAGTGGTATTTGGTAATACATTAATCAATGGCCCCATTACTGAATTAGTACAATGTTCCTCAAATTGTAGTAAGTTACAAACACAAAAAAGTGTCCTTCTAATCAGCAGTTCAAAATTGGTGACGGTGACAGATAGCCTTATTAGTTTCTATATAAAAAAAAGACAGAGTGAGCAAGTCCAGTTTGGTGGCAATGGGAATTGAACTCCAGACCTTGAATCACGAGCCTCTAATGAATCCTCAGACTTGGAGTAGAAAAAACAAGTTGTAAGACAGCATAGATTGTCCATTATCTAGCTTTGTATTTAACAGCAAATATAATAAGTTTTCAATTAGTTGATTATTTCATAATAATCAATGTAATTGAAATTTCAATTAGTCGATTGTTGGAATAATTGTAAACCATAATTTCAGTTGATTATTTTTATGACAACCGACTTAATCGTGATATCTGTCAATTAGTTTACATGACACTAATTGGTATAAGCAATGCTCTTAGGTAATTGATTAATCGATTAAATTTCCCAGCTCTAATTCAAACATAATTGGTATTAAAACTAATTAATAATGTGAAGTATTGTTACAAAGCTAGAAATTTGTAACGTGCAATATTAGTTTCAAAATTAATATTATTCTGATAAAGGTATAAAAATGTGTGTCTCTTGAATCTGTATTTGTGATAGCAAATAGAATCAAATGTCAGTTCTACAGTTCTAATGAAATTAACTGCTTATACCAAAATTTATTATTATTATTTTTTTTTTACATAATAATGAGTGACTTATGATTTGGTAAGTATCTGATTGCTTGTGTGTGAACCTGAAATATAAATGAAATAATTCGTGTAGAGGAATGGAAACCTGTTATTTTTTGTTTTTTACTATCTTGAATATACATGTATTTAACATTTCATGTCTTCATATATATATATATATATATAACAATTTTGTTATATACATATTTAAAAGATAAACTGCACTAAAAAATAAAAGTTACATAGAAGTGTAATTTGAAATTCCCAAAAGTGGGTCATCAGTTATAACACACAACAAAGGTTTACAAATGTGTATAAATAAAAGTATGTAACAAAAGTAAGAAGGTAATTTTACCTGAAAGTAATAAGTGAGAAATAAACATAGACTAAACTTAAATACCCTAAGCAAGCTTGCTCTTTATTTCCTTTTGTAATGTGTATGTTTGGACTTCTGACAACTGACACCTGTGTAATTTTTACACTGCATAGTGCATGTTCTATTTTAACTCGTATTTAAACTCAACCTATCAGTTAAGAAAGCCACGCATTGCAACTTATGGGTTGTTTTCTTATTTTTGTGTTCATGTTTATTTATCTATATATATATTTTTTAAACTTTTTTGTAAGTTATAGAATTTATTTTTTGTCTTAAATAAAGCGTGCATGTGAGAGTGTGATAGAAAGTTCTTAACTCTTTTGCATTGGATAAGTCAAAGTGTACATGTCACAGACTTGTATTCAAAATTCATTTAAATTACTGTATTATCAATATATATATAAATAAACTTGACATCAAAACTTAGTTGGTAGATCAAATTTTAATATTATTGCAGTTTTAATTTTATAAGGAAATAAAAAACAACAACTCGATCTCCCCTAGTATGTGTCTTCCCTCTTCTTTAATGTATTTACTCTCCCTCTGAAAAGTTTGGAATTCAACATAAATTACTCATTATAATATAGAAATGAATAAAAACCTTTTTACCCGAGTGCTTTTGAAAGGTCCATTTTCTATTCATTTGTATCAAGACTTATTTGTAGAAAGCCAAAATAATTATGATAGTTATGGGACATATTCTGCTTTTGCATTTTATTATTCTGTGTTCTTTAGAGCATTATTTTGTTGAATAAAAAAATAATGCTCCAAAAAAACACAGAATTTATTAAATAAAAAAATATTTATTGCAGTAGTACCATTAGTATATTAAAAAAAAAAAGTAGGATTAAGTGTCATCAACAGTCGACAGCAAAAAGAACAACACCCAGGGAAGTATGTTATTTCTTATTTTTCATGTGTATTCTTTATTTATTAATATAAAAGTAAGTAAAATGTAAAAATTAGAAAATTTTTAGGTTAGATAAGATTAGACTAGGTAATATAAAGAATAATAATAATAACAAAATTTTTCATGAAGTAAGCTCACCAGCATTTAGCAAGTAGCCTGTGTGTTATGTGATTTGATAGGGTAACATGACCTGCATGTTTGCCGATTAATTTCAAATTTTATGGTGGGAATATTTGTTTAGAGGTGGTTCAAAATGCAATAAAACAATAAAGTTTAAGTATATACAGATGTTTAAGCTATTTGGGATAAACAAATCAAGTTTTATGTTACAATTTGAAGTCATTCTAGAAAGAAAAAAGGTTAATTTAGATTTATTTCAATTTTTTTTTTATGTGGTTAGGAGTTTAGTCCAATTGACCAACCTCACGTTGAGTTAAGGTAGGAAAAATAACAAATGAAATATAAAGACTTTATGGAAAAAAAAATGATATTTATTTAGGAGATTTTGGGGAATATGCAAACAAAACTTTAGAATTTTCAGATGAATAAAAGTATTTTTAAATTTAATATGAAATTCACTTTGCACTCAGTGCAATCAACACACTGACACCATACCATTAAACAGAAAGTTTTAGTTAAAATACTTTATTAATTTTTTTTTATATATATACAAAAGGCTTTTAAAGTTTACTGAAAGCTTGCAAACTTTTGTGAAGATACAAGAAGTACTTCCAGAGTTGTAGCATGTATACTACCACGGTTATGTGGTTACAAGGTTCTGTAAAATACAGGTTCTTGTCCTGACGGGGTTAATGTGCTTGTTTGCAAGTTTCCTTTATTCTGTAAACATATCAACTAAATACTAATTTTATTTTTCTTATAATTAGAATGACAAGGACATATTAAGTTACTCTCTTGACAAAAATGTACACATTATGGACTTTAATTTGAGTTATAAATGTAAGCATAAAGTTTGTTAATATGTTGTGGGCTTTTAGTTTATTCTTCAGCAAAAAAAATCATACGACTTCCTGAGTTATTAAAGAAAGGTTATATAAAGTTAACTGTACTCATTATATGCTTATAATTCAATATTTAAAATAGTTTCTGCATACCAAACAAATTAAATTTAAAATAAATTATAGTAGTGTATCCTAGCCAGCCGAAGAAACTGGTATTGAATGAAAGGTCCTGTTGGCACTGGATATAACAGATAGGGTGTGGCTGACATATTACTTTTCTTTCATTTGAAAGTTCTTATTAATAATCAGTGTAGATTAAAAATGCTGAAACAAATTTAAAAAAAATTTGAACCAGATATTGGTGGGTGAAACTGTGGTATTCATAGACTATAATAAACAATGATAAAAAATAAACAATAAAAAGTAGGGGGGAAAAAATATATATACAAGTAGAAAAATGCAAAGTTCATAAAATAAATTAGAATTTTAGAGAAAAAAAATCACCTTTAAAAACTATGGTAATAGTTTATTAACTTGGCAATGTTTCAAGCAAATGCTCTTTTTCAAGCCAGAATCAAGCCTGTATATTGAAAAACATCATGAATTTCCCCTAGCGTGACCCATGTGATACATTTTCTTATAACATGTCATCTTCTCTATTTTATCCACCTCACTTTGAAAAAAGCACAAAACTAAATGTAAATTACTCTATAAAATCATCATTGCTCAAACAAACCATTATTTTTATAGTTTTTAATTTTGTTTTCTACAGAGCTATTGAATAGAAAATCAGACCCTTCCTGCCACACCTACATCTCACATCCTCTCTTTCAGAATACGTTAATAGTTCTCTCTTACATTAAATTATATATTACTTATAACCAATAGAAAATCAAGGTTTTCATCTATCAAATGACGTATTGTATAACGTAATGTTCTGAACGGTTAAATGTCAATTTCATCGTTTCCATGGGAAAGTTAACGACTAGCTTGGATGAATTTGTAACAAATCTTGTCGCATAGTTAAAAAGCTAGAAAAATTGTGAGAGGTAAGGGAATTTGTCTGCTTTTTGCATGTTATTAGTCAATATACTTTGGTGCATTTTTTAATTAAATAAAAATTAAGTGCATTACTATCATTAGTATAAAAAATTAGGGTTGACTCTCTTTGACAAACGAGAGCAAGAAAGAAGAAGATTGTTTAAGTATTTTATTTCTTGTTTTTCCTGTTTATTCTATATGTCTAATTATAAAAGTAACTAAAATGTAAAAATAGGGATCCTTTCAGGTTAGCTAAGATTAGATAGGTAAAATAAATAAAATAATAATAAAAATGTTTCACAAGTCTCGCACATGAGCAGCTTGTAGTAGCTAGTAGGTAATGTAATTTGTTAGCATAACGTGAGCAGCATGTTTCCTGAGTGATTTACAATTTATAATGGAATGGTTAATAGTTAGACATGGTTCAAAGGGCAATAAAACAATAAAATGTAATTATAAATAGATGTACACTGTTACAAACTTATCTTCTTATGATAAATGAATGTAGTTTAATGTTACAATTTAAAGTCATTCTAGAAGGAAGAAAAGGGTAATTTAGATTTATTTTGATTTTTTTGTTGTTGTTACAAGGTTCATCAAACTGACTGATTCCATTTTAGATAGGGTAGAGAAAATAACAGATAAACTATCAGGATTTAGTGAAAAAAAAAATGTTTGAAATGCATTCAGGAGGTTTTTGGAGATTACACAAGGGAAATTTGAGATTTTTGAGATTAGGAAAAGTATTTTTAATTTTAACATTAAAATTGCTTTGCACACAGACTATTTAAAACATATACTCAATATATTAATGGACAAATCTTTATTTTGTCTTATTAAAAGTACCTCACTAAAAAAATATGATATTTTGTATGTGAAAGACTTGTAATGTTAACTGAAAGACTGCCAAATTGTGTGAAGGTATGCACACTGTATTGAAAGTTAGAAGTATTAAATCTATAAAGACTAAATAAGTACAAAAAGGTCACGTGGTTGGTCAAATTGACCAAGCCGTGCTGAGAGAGTTAACTGACAGGCTTGTTTCTGGCTTGAAAAAGAGTGTTTGCTCAAAATGTCATAAAATATATAGATACACATACATTCATAATAATGTCATAATATGACAAGAAAGTTAACATTTAAAGTTTTAGTACATAAAGTTTAAATTGACTTACAGATGGTTGTGTAGGTTATTACAGGTATGTATTTTTAAGAGTACCATATTTTATTTTAGCCTTTAAAACCCTTTATTCCTGATGCCAAAAGACCCAAAAGTTTGTAATTTTAAGCAATGATTGTATTGTGAAATGTTAATAACATATTTTGCCTTTTATTAAAGTATTTGTTGTAAATATGTAATACATTGAAATGTTAACAAACCTTCCCTTAGGCTTTTTACAAGTTGTATAGTATAAAAGGCCTACGTCCTTTTAGATATTCATTCAGAAATTAAACAGAAAAATTTAATTAATCTAATCTAATAAACTGGGTAAAATAAAATTAACATGGATGAAATTAGAATTCCTTTTCTTGCAGGACCAGCAAAGTCAGAAAATAGCTACAGTGTTTTTGTAACATATGAAACACAGGACCAAGCTCAGCAGTAAGTGTATAACCATTCATTTAATGTTGCAAAATTCTATGAGAAATATGTTTATTTAGCAAATCTGAATAATTTTTAACCCATTCTAGACGGGTCACGGGTGAAAGGCCATGTCATCTCGTTTGTTGACTCACAGTCAAAATATTATTGAACTACTATTTCATGAACTATTTCAGTAACTTTGGTATCAAACTGTAGATTATAATTCAAATTTTAGTACTAGGTATTACTCAATTTCTTAATTTAAAAGTAAGTATTAAAAAAACACAGATAAACATTGAATTTTGTGTGTCATGTGGTATGTTGAATGCAGCACTGGTTCAAATTGGATGCTTGTGAAGTCAAAATACTTTATAGTTTTGTACGAATTAGAAACTCAAATTACCACTATTGACAAGCTAGAATATAAAATAAGAGCCTCTTATCTTTTCAGTTTGCTAAGATATTTTTCACATAATAAACATAGTGGTACCCGTCTCACCTTCTTACATTTTTGGAAATGCTCCCTTATAAACACTTACTTTTATATATGACATGAATAACCAATCGGAAGCTCAGAATGTCCACATAGTGGTTTTCTCAACTGTTTTAATGGCTTGGTGCTATTTCTTTCTTTTGAACCAATATTTCAACGAGGTAGGGTGTGTCTGTAGCCTGCTTGAAATTTCATATTTTTTTAGACCTAAATATAGCTTAGTTATTACATTTGATAAATTATAGTGGAATTCTATAATATTAATGTAGTAATTTATGATTTTTTTAGTTATTGAAATGTATATATAAAACTTAAAAAAATATTTTGTTTCATATCCTGCAAGTGCAAATGTTTTAAAGGCTTAGCCACCTACGTTAAGCAGGAACTAAGTACAAAGGTCATAACTAGAAGAGATAATTGTTTGCTTTACTTCTTTATTTACTGTTCTGTGTTTTAGGAAAAATAACTTTAATAATTTATTTCAAAATAGCCGCGTCGTTGTAATTTCTGTATTGTTATCCAGGCACGTGTGAAAAGTCAATATAATAAAAAGAATAAATATATAATGTTATGAGATTTAAGCTATTTAGTCTAAACATTTATGTTTTTGTGTTATAATCTGTGTTCATTCTAGAATGAAAGAGGCATAATATATATTTATTTCCTAATGTTTTATGGTGATTGTGAGATCGGTCAAATCTACCGAACCCGTACAGAGATTAATTGTGAAAAAAACAGATAAAATATAAAGTATTTTTGTAAGAAATGTTTGATAACTATTTGGACACTATTAAGATTTTGCATGTGAAATTTCATAATTTTGTAGATATAGTCTACTCAGCGAGTGAAAGACATTGCTTTCATTGACATACTTTGCACAATGTACAAAGTTGCAGCAGCATTCCTATGGGTAGAATAGGTATTATCTACATAGAGAAAAATAAAAAACAAAGGTAACTAGAAAGAAAATAACTCGAATGACTTTCTGGACCATGTGTTTATGCAAAAACTGCATAGAATCAACTTAAATGAAAAAAATTCAAAATTCCAAAATATTTAATATGCCTGCATACCACACACTGTTATATTATTTGTTCTTGTACCTTGAAAGATCTATTCTTTTTAGACTTTATCATTTTTAGTGTATAAAAGATTAGTCTTTTCTTCTTTGTCATACCTAAATTTAAACAGACTGGTATGTTTAATTTAAATGTTAATTATTATTTTTACTGCACAGAATTTTTGAAGAGATGGTTTTAAGATATTCAAAATATCTTGTTTTAAATTTATTTTTATGTGTTTCCTGCATGGTTTAAAAACTATGAATTTTTGTAGAGCTTTTGCACAGTTGAATGGATATGAAATTGGTGGCTCACCACTCAGAGTAGACTTTATTATGAATCAAACTCGAGATACTTGGAATGGTCGTGGGGGTGGACGTGCGACACATCAATCTCCTCACTCAGGGAACTCTGCAGCTCCTATGTGGTCATCAGATTTTCCTCTCAGGTATCCAATACTTAGCTATAAAGAGACAAACTTTAATTTTTATTTATCTGATAGTGAAATAATTAAAAACTGTTTGTAACAATTTGTTAATTATTGTCTTGTTTTTAATGTAAAATTTCTATATCTTACTTAGTTGCACTTAGTTTGGATAGACTTATTTTAGATTGTATGAAAATACAATGTAGATATGGCAGTTGTTTTTATACAAATGCTGTGAAAAGTTTCCCAAGAAAGGTGTTCATCTAAATTTTTAAAACTTTTCATACCATGCATTTATTAGTTCAAGTTTCATAATTGTTTTATACATTGTTGTCATAGATAGTAGCCCATACAATCATCTAAATCTAATTATTAATTAGTAACTAATTAATTAAATGTTTAGTTAACCAGTATGGCTCTGTACTTTGTCAGGAATTTGGGGATTTAAAAAAACATAAAATGACCTCATCATCTTTCTCCATGAATATAAACAATATAACATAATTTTTAAAAGACCTGAGGTTAAATTATCTATTAACCCTTTTTATATGGATCACAGGTAAAAGGCCATGCCATCTTTTTTCTTGACTTACATTCAAAATTTTAGTACTATGTATCACTGAATTTCTTAATCTAAAAGTAAATATTAAAAAAAGACAGATAAAAATCGATCTTTTGTGTATCACGTGGTATGTTTGATGTAGCACTGGTTCAAATTAGATGTTTGTGAAGTCAAAATACCAAGTCTATTGTTTCATATGAATTAGAATATAAAATAAGAAGGTCTTATCTTTTCTATTTGCTAAGATATTGCTCATGTAATAAACATAGTGGCACTCCCTCTCACCTCCCATATTTGGAAATGCTCCCTTATAAACACTTACTTCTATTTATGACATGAACAACCAATTGAAGCTCAGAATTTCCCTCTAATGGTTTTCTAAGCCTTTCTAATGTACTTAGCATCATTTCTTTTACTTTAGTCTGCACAAAATTTCATATTTTTTAGACCCAAATAAAGCTTAGTTACTATGTTTGATAAATTATTGTAGTATTCATAGTATTGATGCAGTAATTTATGATTTCTTAGTTATTCAAAAGTACATATAAAACCTAAAAAAAGTTTTGTTTCATGTCCTCCACGTGCAAAATTTATAAAGGCTTAGCAACCTATGTCAAGCAGCAACCGAGTATAATGGTCGTAACTAGAAGAGATAATTATTTGCTTCACTTCTTTATTTACTGTTCTATGTTTTAGGAAAAATAACTTTAAGAGCTTATTTCAAAATAGTAATAACCTATATTCATATATAATGTATAATAATTGAAATGTGGCTGTATTTTACAAAATACTAGTCTACTAAAACACAGCTAAGATAAGTTACTTCGAATAGACCAAAGGTCAGTTTTATGTTATTTGATACGATAGCATGAGTGCATGTGAGCCACGTCATTGTAACTTCTGTGTTGTTAGCCAGGCACGGGTGAAAGGTCAATATAATAAAGATATATAAATGTATAATGTTATGAGATTGAAGCTATTTAGTCTGAACATTTATGATTTTGTGTTATAATTTTGTTCATTTTTAGAATGAAAGATGCATAATTTATGTTTATTTCCTAATTTGTTATGGTGTTTGCGAGATTGGTCAAATTAACCAAACCTGTACAGAAATTAATTACTGCAAATAACAGATAAAATATAAAGTATTTTCTTAAGAAATGTTTGATAACTATTTGGACATTATAAAGATTTTGCAAGTGAAATTTTGAAAATTTCTAATGCATAAAAGTATTTTTAATGTTAAGATGAAAATTACTTTGCACAATAGATAGGCAAGATGTGAAAAGAAAAAAAAAGGCATGAGAGAAACAATGCTTTACAAACCTTAAGACTAAATTAGATATTTTGCGTATGAAAACATTGTAACATTTGCTGATAAACTGCCAAATTTCGTTAACATTTGCTTACTAATTGAAAAGTTATAGCATGAAAACTATAACAATAATTTGTAGTTTTAATTTATCAAATGATGTGTTGTTTGCCTTGCAGAGAATTGTTTATTTTGCTTCCAGTTCAAACTTTATTCCAACAGAAAACACATCAATGAGGTTAGCTGAATTTTTAATGGCTCTTGCACATAGTTAGAAAGCCAGAAAAATTTTGGTAGTTACAGGACATTGTCTGTTTTTTAATGTTGTTATTCTGTGTTTTTTGTGCATTATTTAATTAAATAAAAAAATATTTAATGCAGTAATACCATTAGTATAAAAAGTAGGCTTAAGTTTCATAGACAGTGGACAGCAAAAGTACTAATTTCTTGTTTCTCATGTGTATTCTTTATTTATTAGTATAAAAATAATTAAAACTTTAGAATTAGAAACATTTTAAGTTAGATTAGGTAAAATAAAAAATATTAATAATAAAAGTTTTCATGAGGTGTACTTTTGAGCAACTTGCAAGTAGCCTGTGCATTATGTAATTCGATCTGGTAATGTGAGCATCACATTTGTCAAGTTGTTTACAGATTTTGTGGTGAGAATATTAGTTAGACACAGTTCAAAGACAATAAAAGAATAAAATTGAAATGTAAACACATGTATACACTTACGAGTTTAAAGCTATTTAGGATAAACAAATGTAGTTTCATGTTACAATTTGAAGTCATTTTAGAAAGAAAAAATGTAATTTAGATTTTTTTTTATATTTTATTTTTGGTAGTTTTAAGATAAGTCAAATTGACCATCTTTGTATAAAGTTAGGGTAGAGAAAATAACAGGTAAAATGTAAAGTTTTGCTGAGAAAAATGTTTAAAATTTATTTAGGAGGTTTTAGAGATTATGCAAATGAAATTTGAGATTTTTGAGATAAAAGTGTTTTTAATCTTAACATGAAAATTACTTTGCACTCGGAGTAGTTAACACTTTGACTCCTTTATTCAAGGAGCCATTTTTAGTAAAAATACTACATTAAAAACTAATCTTTTGTCCACAAATGACTCTTAATGTTTACTGAAAGCTTGCAAAATTTCATGAAGATATACAAAACATTAAGTTATAGTATGAAAAATTTAAAGGCCAATTTGGGGTCAGTTTTTAGGTTGAATTGTCTGAGCCTGTAGCAAGAGAGTTGACTATTTTATATAAATATAATAACCAACTAGCACAATTTGGAAGAAACTTAATAATGTTGACACTTTACATGGTGTAATTGCAAGTGTATCTATAACAGTTGTAGTAAATGGTCAGATAACATCACACATTCATTAATTTTAAGTAACAAATATCTATACTGACTTTAACTATTTTCACATTAAATCATCTGTTATTACTCAAGTACAAAAGTTTCATTGGCCAAAGACAAAAATAGTAAAGGAACTGTTGCCTTATTACTTACAACAACAAATAATACTTCAAATCAAACTTATCTTGAAACAAGTGGTTTCTGTTTATCCTGAATATAGGCTTTATTATGCATAGGCTCTAATGTCTATGGAAAGTAAAATCAGGCATTAACATCTATGTCTGTAAGATTTTGTCATTTAAAAAATGTGTTTAACTATTTTAGATTTTTCCCCATTTTAAAGACATACAATTTCATTAGATTCTAAACTATTATAATTTACATTTCTCTTAAAAATACGATAAACACTTAAGCCTCAAATAGTTAAAACATAAAATTTATTAGATTAGTATATAAACTGTTTTTAATACACACATCATTTATTTTATTTTCTTTAACTAAAATATAGTCATAGATTGACTTCCCTATTATAATTTATGACCTAAACTGTAAAGCAAGAATGTATTCACACCAAAATTATAAACTAAAAGAAACTTTATTTTTAAAAACTTTTTCAAGAAAAACATTTCTTATGCACTGTCATATTAAATTATTATTATGAAAGTTAATTTTCTGGACATTGTGAAACTTATTCTGTGGTTTTTAAAATATTAATACATTTTATATGCTATTAGGTTTTCTTTGCTAGTGTCTTTGCTTTTAAGTAGTTCTACTGTTCTATATTGTTAAGTATGCAATGAATAAAAACCCTCTAACCTAAGCACTTTCAAAAGGTGGACCTTTCTTCTTCAGGGGCAAACTGGGAATGGAAAAGTATGGAAAAGGTTATTGTTTCATTATAAAAGTGAGAATTTAAATGTTATTGAAATAGGTTACAATTTTGATGAGATAACGGAGATTGGGAAATTAAAATACAGAATTGTTTTGTAGAGTTATGGTAGCAATGTGTTGAGTGGCTCAGATAACGTCAACTAAGTAGTACATAAGCTACTTGTATATCCATATATTTATGTAACTAGAATAAGCTTAATATTTAATATCAGCTGTGAAACAGAAATTATGTGATTCGAAAACAGTACTACCTCCTCTCACCCAAAGCTATCATGACCTTGGTTTGCCCTCCAAGCATTGCTAACAGTGCGCCAGTCTTTTATACTCCTTCATTTTCATGACATTTCAGAACAGGGGCTGATCATGTGACTACTCTCCATCAATGATACTATGGCATCTATACTCATGCAGGTAGATCCCTTTACTATTCTAGCACAATCCTCATTTTCTCGATTGTCATTAGAGTGTATTGATGTGTGTTTAATTTGCTCTCCATGTGACTCTTGCTATTTTGTTTGTGATTACTTATAAGTCATTCACCAGTTTAAACTAAAAGTTTTGACTTTGATGGTTGCTTTCGAAATTTTGGTTTTATTTTCAAAAGCTTCTCATATAATTTGATTTCTACATTAAAATATGAATTTGAATGTTACTGTAGTGGATGAAGTTCCTGTTAATATTGAAGATGGTAATATCACTAGTCCCCAATGTGGCAGGTTGATGATATCTGCCAAGGAAGTTAAAGCTTTAATTTGCAGGGCGTTGGACACTTTTGCTCTGCCATTGGTTAATTTTTCCTTTCCACCCTGAACATGCTTCTGAGAAAGACTTTAATCAGCGTTTTGACTCTTTTTTTTTTTTTTCCAGCCACGGTCAGACAATTAATGCTGACAGTCGGGAGAATTTACCAGCCTTGTCATTTCTGCACCTTATTGATCAGGTATTTTAAATGTTCCACCTTTAGCCCTTGATTCCTCACTTTATTTCTTAGGTGAAGAACCTCAGTTGGATTTATTATGCTTTTCCTCCCTCATTCAACATCCATGTTCATGCTCAACATTTTGCTGATCAATTGCTGTCGGATGTGGGTATGCCCCTTTCACCCTCGGTTGATAGTCCAGTATTCTTTAGCTTACTGGCGTACTTTGAATCCTTTTTTAGAAACCTAACATCTGGATTTTCTCCTCCCCTTTGGGGCTCGAATCTGGGGGTTTGATCCATTTTAGTCAGTCCCAATTTTCTAGGATTTGTCTTTCCTTTACCGCCCTTACCTTTATGATTTTCTCCTTACAGTTGCTGTCTCAAGCCTTTCACTAATTATCAGATCAATTCTCTGTGGAATTTGGGACCCTCGTGTGGTCTTTTCTGGCCCATTTGTTGGTATCACGCTATCTCCCAACACCTGGTTATTATATTTTTGGGATTTGCTGGGGAAAGATGCATTACTTGAGGGTGTGTGTCGCCACCATTCTTCACCAGCCCCTCCACCTGTGCACTGTGGGATTCTAGTTTTGGGTAAATGAAGGTATTACCATTTTGTAAGTTAACATTTTCTTACACTGAAAATGTATTTAAGATAGGTATTCACTTTTCTCACTCATTTCCCACCCTTCCTACCCAATGATATGCCAGTGTTTCTAGTTTGTACTTGCCAGTTTTCAAAAGTGAGGATTGTGCTAGAGTAGTAGGGAGAGCTACCTGTGCTAATATAGATGGCTCAGTATGATTGGTGGAGGGTAGTCACATGATCAGCACATGTTATGAAATGGTGTGAAAATGAAAAGGTATAAAAGACTGGCGTTCTGTTTGGGATAAAATATTTAGTAATGCTTAGAGGCCAAACCAAGGTTGATATAGCTTTGAGTTAGATGAGAGAAGTACCTATTGGAAATAAATTTTCAGTGTAAGAAAATTTTAACTTTTGAGAGAAGTTCAGTTTTAGTTCACTATGTTAGACTTGGATGTGTTTAAAATGCTTTTATTGCTGTGATAAACTATGAAGTTCTATTTTATCAAAATGTCTGACTTGATAATCCCAAAACAAGTTAATATATTGTAAGAACTGATTTTAAGACTCATATTAGGTCATCAAGAAATTAATGACGCTTTTTCAGATGAAAAAAACCCAAAAACTTGTATATCAAAACAAAACATTTATTAAATGAAACTGTCTCCATTCTTATTGATGATGCTTTTCCATTTTACAATCAGGTTGTTAAGCCCCTGATTAAAGAAATCACTTGGCTTTGAAACAAAATTCATGTCCTCTTTAATACCTTCCACATTTGCATACGTTTTCCCATTAAGATGGCATTGCAGAGAACGCAAAAGATGGTAATCTGATGGTGCCATATCTGGATAATATGGTAGGTGGGGGAGAACTTTCCAACCCAACTCCATAATCTTGTGTTGCGTGCATTGTCATGGAGAAGAAGAACACCTTTTTGATTGACGAGTGAAGGGCGTTTCTGATGAAGGGCTTGATTTAAACGTTCCACTTGCTGACTATAGATCTCTGCATTACAGTTTGCTGTGGATTGAGGAGTTTGAACTTAATTACTCCTTCGATGTCCAACCAAATGCAAAGCATCACTTTCTATGGATGGAGTCCCAGTTTTGGGGTTGGAAGTGGTTTTTGTCTAGGATTGAGCCATTGTTTTTGGCATTTAATATTTGCATATGGAATCCATTTTTCATCACCAATTCTGTTCAAAAATGGTTCACATGCATTACGCACCAGAAGAGATGAAGCAACGTTCACACATTGGAAACGAAAATCGTTGGAGAGTTTGTGAGCACCCAAACACCTTCTTTATGGAGTTTTCCCATATTTCTTAGATGTTTACACATTGTTTCATGAGAGACATACAATTTCAGGGCTATTTCAAGAATGTGTTGTCTTGGGTTAGACTCGACAAGCATCTTCAAGGCATCGATATCAATTCCAACATGTCGGCCCCTGCCATCACAGTTTTTAAGGCTAAAGTCACCTGAACAAAATTTGCTGAACCATCGTTGACACTTATGAATGTTCAAAACATTTCCATAAACTTCTTTGATATTCTATATGGCTACAGAGGCGTTCTTTCCCTTCTTGTATTCAAACAGAATTACATGCCTAATGTGTGTCTCATTGTGTGCCATCACTATAAGGGATTATAGTATACTAAACTTTACACATTATATAGGCTACACTAACATGACGTTTAGGTGGTTCATTTAGCCATTATACGTGATGTACGTTTTTTGGCGGTGGTTAATGAAAGTGTTCCAAAACGCAACATTAATTTCTTGACGACGTAATATATATATATACTACTCTTAATTCGCATAGTATAACCTACATTCGTTTATTTCCTTTTTTTAAACTTCGCTATAAACCAACTTGTTATTGACTTACATTTTAGTAATTGTGTAATTGATTAGCCTCTGTTCAGTTCAGTTTGCTGCTCACTCACATGCTGCTCTTGTAGAGGAAAATCTTGTACTGAACTAACCTCCAAAGTGACAGTTGTATGATGTAGGTAAATGATTTAGTATTTAGGTGAGAAATGTATAACTGCAGTTTCTCTTTGATAGCACAATGAAAACCTCTTACTTTCAGAATTCTTGTACAAAGTGATATGGTTGGTGCGATAATTGGACGTGCAGGTGGTACAATACGTCAAATCACTCAGCAGTCAAGAGCAAGGTAAATGGAAATTTATTAATACTTTGTAAAAAAAAAAAATCCTTTTTGTCACATATATTTTTATATACATTTGAGGGGTGAATAATTAATAACTACATTATGGAAAGAATAAAAGGTGGCTTCTATTTCTAATTCTTCTTCTGTGGTTTCTTTTCCTTTTAGTCTTTTCTCTTATTCAGGCTCTTGGGTTTTAGTTCCTTTTGTAGAGAGAAGATGCTGGGTGACACCTGAAGTGTTTTTCTTGGATTTCAAGTTGAGGTAGTTTTAGAATAGTACTTTGTAAGATCCCACCCACTTTAACCCTATCTGCACAGGCATCATTTACTGAGCACATCAAGAGTTGTTAGTGGCTTACAGTCAAATTTTATTTAACTACTTTGTGTTTATGTTATACCAGTTAGTATTGCATAGAATCATAGCTAATCATCCATATTTTAATAGTTTATAAGTTTTAAGTTCTTAACTATATGAGGCAATATTTTAAAAAATCCCTAATTTCCCCTAGTGTGAGAAAGGTGACACATTTTCTGTAGGCATCCTGCCTTCTCTATTTTATTTCCCCCTTCCCCCCCAATAAGTACAAAATTTAATGTAAATTACTCACTATGAAATTGACATTGCTCAGACAAACAATGGTTTTTATAACTTTCAATTTTGTTTGGTTACAGTGACATCAAATACAAAATCAGACCCCTCTGCCACACTTTCCTGTCACATCCTTACTCTCTTACTCATGATACTATATTATGTATACCTAACAGAAAGCCAAGGTTTTCATCTATTAAGTGACATATTATACTATGTTGTGTTCTGAACAGAGAATTGTCTATTTGTCTTTTAATACAAGCTTTGTTCCCACGGGAAGGATAATGACTAGCTTGTATGAATTTGTAATGGCTCTTGTCACATAGTTAGAAAGCCAGAAAAATTGTGATACTTAGAGTAAAATGTCTGCTTTTTGCATGTTATTATTCTGTGTTCTTTGGTGCATTATATTTAATTACATATAAATTATTTAGTGCAATACTACCATTAGTATCAAAAGTAGAGTTAAGTGTCATCAACAGTCAACAACAACAACAACAAAAAAAAGACACAGGTAAGTACTGTGTTTCTTGTTTTTCTTATTTATTCTTTATTTATTATTATAAAAGTAACTAAAATGTAAAAATAGGGATCTGTTTAGATTAGTTACGGTTAGATTAGGTATAATAAATAATACAATACAAATGCTTCAGGAGGCATGCACGCGAGCAGCTCATGGGTAATCTAATTCGAGAACATAACGTGAGCTCCACATTCTCCAAGTGATTTACAACTTATAATGGCACGAATAGTAATTAGACACGGTTCAAAGGGCAATAAAACAATAAAATTTAATTATAAGTATATGTATAATGTTATGAGTTTAAAGCTACTTAGGATAAAAGAATGTAGTTTCATGTTACAACTTAGTCATTCTAGAAAGAAAAAGAAGGTAATTTAGATTTATTTCGATTTTTTTTTTTTTTTTTGGTGGTTGGGAAGTCGGTCAGATTGATCAATGTTGTATAGAGTAGAGAAAATAACAGATAAAATATAAATTTTTATTCAAAACAAATATTTGAAATGTAATTAGGAGGTTTTAGAGATTACACTAATGAATTTGAGATTTTTTGAGATGAAGAAAAGTATTTTTAATCTTAACATGAAAATCACTTTGCACACAGACTATGCAAAACAAATAATGTTGAAATACTTTATATATTCATGGACAAATCTGTTTTTAGTTTATTAAAAATACTTCACTAAAAAATATGATTTTTTTTTTTTGTATGTGAAAGACTGCCAAATTTTGTGAAGATATACACACTATATTAAAAGTTAGTAGTATCAAATCTATAAAGACTTTAAATGAGTACAAAGAGGTCACGTGGTTGGTTAGATTGACTGAGTCCCTATTGAGAGAGTTAAGAAATGGTAGCTTTCTAAGGCCAGAATTTTTGTTAGCTTTAATTCTGCTTCATTGCCAATTAAAACTTATAGTGATATACTTTTGTTTCTTGTACACAGAGAAAATTATTCTAAAGACCACAAGGTGAGAAAACTGAATCTCTCCCTTGACCATCATCATTTCTCATTTTGTGTGGTTCTGGTGTAGTGAATGAATGTTTCCCAGATATAGATAGGTTTTTAATGGTCCCTCGAGAGTCTGGCCTGAAAAGTGACTGTAAAAAAGTGATGTGTAAGGATTTTGGTGTCCTCTCTAACTACTTAAACACACACACATACACCTGAGTGACAAAATAACTGAGCTTTGTGTAGGTGATAAATGTTCATACAGACATCAGATTTTTGTCTTTAGTCTATGCAGGAAGTAGACTTTGTTATGTATTAGGTACGGGAGGTGGTAGATCTGTTGACACTCACCTGTGAACACCTAATGAGCCCTGATATTGGGTAGAAGGCTTCATTAGCCTTGGATATGGCAATTTTACTGTGTTTGACATATTGTTGTCTGTCATTCTTGTACTTTCACTTTAAGTTCTTGGAATTATTTAAGAATACAGAAGGTTCTCTCTTTCTCTTCATAGAAAGTAAATGTATGGTTTTACATATACAGAAGGTTGAGAATGTTATATTAAAACAGCTTTGGATTTTCATTATAATGTTATAATCCATGTTGCCACGTCTGGTCGTGAGCTATCTAATGAATGTGCATCTTAATAATAGTCTTGCTGTGTAGTTTTCATTGCATGACAGGCCGTATCATAAGGCTACTATGTCCAAAACATACCAATCATCCCTGTGGGCTCTTCTTAATCCATTTAGTGTACAAGAAGAATGGTTTCCCAGCACTCATTTCAATGGTCATATCATATAGGAATCCATAGGTGCTGTATCTGGCAACTTGACCAGTATATATTCTTATGGAATAACATGAATAGCAAAGGGTCTCGCACATTGGTCTGATTGTCAGCAGAGTTCACCTTGACCTTTGCATTCACCTTCCTGTATCCAGCAATGATCACTGACCACATTGAAATATTTTTGCAGCATGATGTAGACCACTTTGGGAAATTGTTTTTAACCATAGGCTAGTATAAATGCCATGAGACTTGTTACGGTTATCAAAGTACACAATCGGTTCATCTAGTATCACTATGTATTGCCATTATTACCTGGCTAGATACCATTCATGAAGTTTATTAAAGTTGATTTTCCTACCCGATATGTTTTGGAAGCAACTTACGTTACATAAGAGATCCTTCTTGTTAATGTTGGCTGGGAAACGTGGATGACTTTTGCCACTGAATTTTGTGTTTTTCATTTGTAACAAGGCATCAAACTTTGTTATTGGTCTCTTTCTGGATGGTCCCAAGTTGATCCATATTCCTTTGTTTCCTAATGGCATTAAGTACAAAGGATATCTCAATCATTGACATTTTTAATCCCTGTTCTGAGTATATGAATATTTTGTGTCTCAAAGGGAGATCAGTTTTTGGTGGTTTTGCAGTACCTTTTAATGCTGTTCAATGTGAAAATATAGTTCTGATATATTTCAGTGCAACTTTATGTTGGCTGTGGTTGTCACATGACTTGATGATTTGCATATTAAAAAATAATTTTAATATAACTAACTTGACCTCTGTAACTTAATCAAATGAATATCAGAAAACATATAAACATGGCCTACACTTTGTAAGTAATAGAAATACTAGTGTCATCTTTACTGTATCACCTTGTGTCACATACTGGCATTTATAGAAACACTGACCACAATATGCAGTACTTATAATATTTGTTTAAGGAAAATCATTCGTATATATATTCTGAAACAAACATTTTACTTCATAATGTTTATGCTTTTGCAGGTTTTCTTCACAGGCTTTGCTGCAATAAGATAAAAGTAAAGTACAGATAAGGTTTTATGAAATCATCATTTGTTTATTTTTTAGGTTGTTCTGTTATAAGCTTTGTAGACATTATGAAATTTGGTAGCACATTTTTTTAATTTTTGGGGATTGTGTAAACTTTTACAATTTCAGTTTCATGTGACATATTTGGCAACACATAATCACATTACCTAATAAATTACCATTGGTGACAGTCACTAGTTAAAGCCCACCTTCACTGTTTTTGTTAACTTCAGCTTAAACTAGAAGGATAAGTTTCAATACAAAGAAAAAAATTATAAACCAAAATATTTAATGTTATGCAGTTATCCATATCATATTTGTTTTAGACCTCTCAGGACGAACTTAATCTCACTGTATCCATTATGATGCATTTTTTGCAATGTTTATCTTTTTGTGCCAGCAGTGAATCTGTTTAGATAAAAATCTTGTTACTTCATATATTGTGTGCATTAACATAATAATTTTGTTTCAGATACTCTTTATTTTTGGAATAATGTTTCAATTTATATATTTTTTATTTTTAGATTATTTTAAAAAGTAAAGAAGTCAAGTGGATGCACAATGAATTAGTTCAACTGAATAGTGATAAAAAAAATTCAATTATACCTAATACTGTTTATTTAATTTTTAAAGTCACAGATTTTTTATTGTAAAGTTCTTTTTCTCTCTCCCTCTCTGCGTGATTGGGACCGAGCATGACATAGTGGTTAGTGTGCTTGAACAGTGAATCCTTGTCCAAGGGATCATTGTTCATGAACCTTTGCAACAAAAATGTACTATGGGTGAACTATTAGAATGATAGTTAAAATACCATTATTCTGTCAGACAATAGCCCATGAGTTGCCAGTGAGTGCTGTTAATTATCTGTTTTACCCCTAGGCTTTCAGTTCAAAATTAGGAATGGCTATATGCAGATAGCCCTTTGTGTACCTTTGCATGAAAACTCTGAAATAAACAGTCATACTTACAATGACTAATATGAAACTTTCTAGTGTACTGAGTTACTTTTTTTAATAAATTAGACCAGTTACCTTTTCATATTCTGATTTTGATTCCTATATTTTAAAACTATAAATTATTGCGATAAGGTATTCTCCCTCC